ACGTGGCCCTCCTTCGGCGCTGCGGCACCAACCCGGCAGCCCCCCAGCTGCTCTGCCCCAGGCATCCCGAAGAGCAGCTGGGGTGCTACCGGGTTGGTCCCGCCGCGCCAAGGGTCGGCACTACCAGACCAACCCAGCAGCACTCCAGCTGCTCTGCCCCAGGCATGTCCGATTCAGCCGCTGCTGGTCAGTTTCAACAGTGGCTGAATCTGGATGCCAGTTCCGACTTACATACAAATTCAACTTAAGAGCAAACCTACGGTCCCTATCTTGTACGTAACTCGGGGACTGCCTGTATAATGAAGTCTTAGAGCAGTATCCACTCATAACTGTGTCTCAAGTCAGCAACAGAGAGAGTACTGACACCTGATCAATTTTTAACTAAATTTATCTGATTTTGGGTGTCAGACTTGTGAAATCAAACTACTTTCAGGTGGCGCCTAACCTGTCCAGGACATTCCTATTGTTCAGAGACATCTTCTCTAAATATTTCTTACATATCATAAGTACTTTTTAGTTTGTCTGGTTTTAGAGCAGCTCTTAGTTCATAGACTAACTGGTGTTTTTTTTTTTTTAAATAAGAGTCAGTAGAAGACATTATCATAAACACAGGACCTAGGGGTATCAAGAGAAAAACATCTGATGATGGTAAGAGCTTTTTGCAGATATGCAAATACTGTTACATAGTTGAATGCTAGGTGCTAGTTTAATCAAACATTCAAGCTGTAAAACAATTACTTAAGCCAGTGGTTTCCAACCTGGGGTTGGTGGTTTTAAATAAGAGTCAGTAGAAGACATTATCATAAACACAGGACCTAGGGGTATCAAGAGAAAAACATCTGATGATGGTAAGAGCTTTTTGCAGATATGCAAATACTGTTACATAGTTGAATGCTAGGTGCTAGTTTAATCAAACATTCAAGCTGTAAAACAATTACTTAAGCCAGTGGTTTCCAACCTGGGGTTGGTGGACCCCTGGGGGTCCATGAGGGTATTGCAGGGGGTTCATGGGAGGCGGGGGGGG